TCTCCTCTGGTACCGTGACTGGTTCATTAATAATGCTTTCATTATGTGGGTTTTCGACATGCTGTTGTTGTACTCGAAAATCACGAGACGTTGATGTGAATTTCGGTACAAGAACAACAGAAGGGATATCCGGTGTGAAAACGTTATCCCGAATCTCTTCTATGTTCTAAGAAAGACTCTTTGAGAATTATATTGGTTTTAGTTGCTCATTATGATTTAGAGCTTCATCAAATGGATGTTAAAACCGCTTTTTTGAATGGTGATCTAGAGGAACAAGTATATATGGATCAGCCTGAAGGATTTATACCCACGGGAAAAGAAACTTTAGTGTGTAAGCTGAGAAAATCAATTTATGGACTAAAACAAGCTTCCCGACAATGGTATCTTAAATTTAATAATACCATTACATCTTATGGTTTCGTAGAAAATATCGTTGATCGATGTATCTACATGAATGGACACTGTCCAGTCTCATTATATTTTCCATAATACTCTCCACCTCTATCAGATCTCACAACTTTAACCTTTTTCTCTAACTGCCTCTCAACCTCATTGATGAACACTTCAAGTATGTTCACAGATTGAGATTTATCATGCAGAAGATAAGTATAACCATAACGTGAGTAATCATCGATAAAAGTAATAAAGTACCTTTCTCCACCCCACGTGGAAATATCAAAAGGACCACAAATATCAGTGTGAATTAATTCTAAAAGCTGAGTGCTTCTTGTGGCCGCTTTCTTTACAGTATGTTTTGTCTGCTTTCCTTTGATGCAGTCTATACATACTCCTAAGTCACTAAAATCCAAAGATGGTAAAATTTCATTCTTCACCAATCTTATTAACCTTTCTTTGGATATATGACCTAATCTTTGATGCCACAATAAAGCCGAACTTTCATTGTTAGGTGCACTACGTTTAACGCCCATAATATTTTCAACATTAAACAAGGATTCTGAAAACTTTCTATCAAGATTAAAGCGATAAAGACCATCCATTAAAATACCAGAACCGAAAATGTGTTCATGTTTATGTAATTGAAAAATACCAGAACCGAACTTAACAGAAAAACCCATCAAGTCTAATTTTCCAATAGAAACAAGATTTCTTGCACATTCAGGAACATAAAGACATCCTTCAAGAGCTATGTGAAAGCCGGTGTCTAAGACCAATATATAAGTCCCAATGCCTTCTATCCGTGCTTTCATCTTATTCCCCATGACCACATGCCGTTCAGGTCCTTTTATGGTTTGGATCATACTGAATCCCTGTTTAATATGAGAAACGTGAGTAGTAGCACCTGAATCTAACCACCAAGTATTATTAGGAACTTCAATAACATTCGATTCAAAGCAAACTAAAATATTATGTTTACCTTTACTTTCGAACCATTCCTTCCTTTTCTGACAATCTTTCTTAATGTGTCCAGTCTTTTTACAGAAAAAACACTTGACTTCTTTCCGGACTCGGCTCACATTATCTTTTGTTGGAGCCTTATCCTTCCTTTTGTCATTCTTTCCTGGTTTTCTTTTATTGCTGCCGGCATTAGTTTGAACTGTAAGATGGACAGAATGTTCTTTCACCTTCTTTAATCTCCCTTCCTCCTGTATGAGCATGGCCTTCAACTCCTGAAAGTTCCATTTTTCCTTGATGGTGTTATAATTCACCTGGAACTGGCCAAACTCAACAGGGAGAGAGTTAATGATGAACTGGACCAGAAATGTCTCATTAACATCCATTCCCATAGCTTTCAACTTTGCCGCCATATTAGACATGTTAGTCACATGATCATGGATAGGCTGAGACCAGTCAAACTTTTTCGTAGTTAGCTCACTCATGAGACTTCCTACAATCGACTTGTCAGCCAGATCCGACTGAGAATACTCTTTAATCTTTTGCAGAAATTCCTTTGCACTTTCAGTTTTAGGCATCGATGGCTTAACACTTTCTGCCATAGTGATCCTCATCAAGTTCAAACACAGCCTATTTGATCGCCCCCAGGATTCGAAGTTAATCCTGTCATTTTCTGAGCTTTCATCTGTTATGGCTGTTGGCTTTTCATTCAACAATGCATAATCCATATCATTGAAACCCAAATAAAATTGGATCTGTTCAGACCAGTCTGCATAGTTAAGCCCGTTGAACTTAACAATTCCATTGCCAGAAGCCATAAGGTTAAGTGAAGCTGAAATTTTATAAATATTTATCCATTAGTATTTCAAAAGTAACAATAATATGTACCAAAATTTACCTTTGGGCAATATTTCAATACATATATACAATTATTGATGCAAAATATGCTTTAATGGACATCATAATATTACCAGTTAAATAAGAATGCAATCTTTGGATATACATACTTATTAACCAAAATTATGTCCCTATAATATTATTAATCATATGCATTGATCCATCTTTGGATGATCTAATAGCAATATGATAAATAATTATAATTGTTCAATTATTTATTTTATGTCATACATTAGCATCCTTTTATTATGAACAATTAAAACATGCATATTTGGTTTGAATATTTATTTTAATTTAAACTAAGTCACTTTGGTGACTAACAAGTTTAAAATATAAAACAAATAAAAATATTTTTAACCTCCATATAACATGTATCCACATAGTTAATTTCATAAAGTATATAAACTATTATCCATACAAATTACTATATGGTATATTAATGCATAATATATATACTTATATGAAGATACAATAATAATAATAATACATATTGATATGTATTATAAAACATAGAAGTTATCAATATTAATATTTCACTATAAATACGAATATTCATATATACTAATTCATATATATATATATATACCCACTTTAATTTATATTACTATAATCTTTGATGACACATAAAAAAAATGTATCAATATATTACACACATTAAAATTTCGAAACTATAATCGATGAATTATGATAAAACAAAACACATGTTCTGATACCAAATGTAAAACATTTTATGTTGATGGTTTTCGATAACTTTATGAAAACTCACCAAAAATTGGATACGGTTTTTGCATAATTCACACAATTCGAAATTAATATACATATCGGATAAGAATTATACCTGAATCCATTTTGCAGCGGAATGACTTTGAAGAACAATTCGGTAAATCAGTTTTATTTGTTTTCTCTCCTTTCTCCCTAACTTTGATAGATTTTTGATGGATTAAAATATGAACCAAATGTCCACTATTTATAGGGTAAGGAGAGGGGAATAAACTTAAATACCCATAAACTTCAACACCATAATAAACTCATTTCCATCATTGTAGTCAAGATCATATTGAAGTTTAAAAACACAAAATTACATGGGTCATTAACATGTTATATTTCCAACAGTCCTCTCACTGGAGTTTCCAAACTCCTCCTGCCTGTCTTCGTCTCTGCAACATGAAAACAACAAGAAGAAGCATTTCTTCACTTACTCTTCATCATATAATTTCTTACATTTGCAATATCATTGCAACTATCTAAACCAAAGGGCTTGCCAGAGAAACCGACGGGAATAAGATTTTCATCACAACTTCGGATGTTGGATTTAATTAATTAATTAATTAATTAAACGAGGTAATCGTGAGTCGTGATTGACCTGATTTCTAGATTTTTGTGAAAAAATCTTATATCAATTAAAACTTGGATAATATTAAAGAAACTAATTAAAGAAAAATGAAAAAAACATCGAAATATATGATATTAGTGGTATTTAGTTTGGTAAAAGTCTAAAAGATACGGTGGTATGGAAGTGGGGGATACGCACGTAGATGAGTGGGAAAGTGAACCCAAAACCTCACATACAATATATATATATATATATATATATATATATATATTATACTAATTTTATTTCTACATAGTATTGAAGTGTTGCATCATTGAGCTATGAGGTACAAAATTAGTATATGATCTAAAAATTTAATAAAATCTATATCAAATATAAAATAAATAAAAAATTTCAATACGAACAACATTCAGAAGAAATAAAAAAACAAATATATACGACACTAAATAGAAAATTGATAAATATCATTTTTAGAGAAAAAAATCCAATCAAAAAGTAATATTTGCATCTAGTATAAGACATAATCAGATAAAGAAAAAAAAAAAGAAAATAGCATTAATGTAATTAAGAGCTTATGATTATAATATTGGATCTACTGATTATTAATTAATCAATGATCCATTTATCTTAGAGAGCAGTGCCCAACTTGTAGCTTCAGCAATCAATAATGATAATTAAATGCATTAGAAGTAGCTGTCATGATCTTGAGTAAGAAAATGCATGGAAATTCAAGAGAAAAGTCATAAAAAAAACCCAGAAACAAACAACGTCCTCTAAGCTCTCAATTTTTGTCTTTTTGTTGAAAACGTCAACTAAGTTTCTGAGCAGAAATTTCCCCGATTCGCTAAAAGCACAAACAGAAAGGGCTAATTTGAATTTCAAAGCAGTAAAGAGAGGGCGAAACCTAACCAGGATCGATTTCTTCGCTAACAAGCTGAAGCAAAATCCCTTGCCCGATCGCTTTCATCAAAAGCTCCAGCTGATGCTCCACCTTCTCCGTCAGCTTCTCCTTCATCTTCTTCCGTATCTTCACCACCGCAGTCACCGACTTCGATCCGCCATACGAAGGTCGCGGCAACTGATCTGGAGCTGAAATTGGAGATCCGCTGCTCTTCCCAGCCTCCTCGACGGCCTTTTCTTCGCGGCTGATCACTGCCCGGACCTGTCCGGAGCGAGGTAAGCGATGCCGCTCGAACCGCGGTCGGGCGAGGAACGAGCTCCTTTCTCCGGCGATGGAGAACGGCGGAGATCGCCCTAGCTTGACGCCGTGGAAGGTCGTCTTCACCGGAGAGACTGCGAACATTTTTTTTTGTTTTCTTCTCGGTTCTTCAGTATCGGAGTGTAGATATTTATATATATTATTACTTTATTAATAATGACATGGACGACGTGAGATGATGCCGGTGGACCTCGTGCAATTCATTTCCATTAGAAAATTTGAATTTATTGTTAAAAAATAAAAAGAAAATTAGTAGACTATTATTTTTTAACCATTGGGAACGCTCTTCGAACTTCGATAATTATTTGACCGTTGACTATCAAAATGACACGTGCTAAATGATCGTAACGAGAAATCTTTTCTCTGTCAAACAAGTTCATAATACTTCAATTTTAGAGAAAACATAATCAATGAACCTCTTAGGTCATCTTTTTTTTTTTTGTCAAACAAGTTAATAATAATACTTCAATTGTAGCACGTGCCGCTTTGATCCCCACCAAGCCAGTGTTTGGTTTCCCACTGGCATAGCCCATTGTATAACCCATTAAAGATAATAAAAGCTGATCCGATCAAAGGATCAGATCTTATTCAGTTGATGTCTCCGGCAGCATGTACAATCACTAAATAAAAGGCGGTAAAACCGGATATCATAGATCAAAATCTAAACTAATCTCGGAGTCGGGAACAACTCATGTCATTTGAATTATACTATCCTCTCCGACTTGAAACTCGAACTCAGGACAAAACAGACATTTGCATTCTCGTTCCACCGATTGAACTAACCAATTTAGGTTATTAATCATTGGCCTTTGTCTAGTACTAAGCTCTTCTCACTAATCATTCAAAAAAAAACTTAATTTAATCTTTGGCTTTTTTCTTAATTTGTAAACTATTACAACTAGTGCAAGACAAGAACATCTACTGCTGAGATGTTGAACAGAGAAACGTGTTGAACCCTGTGTGGACATAGACTTGGGTATACGTATTACCTTTTCAATTATTTCCTACCAACCATTACTTTCAGCAACAACAATATAAATAAGTGTATATATATATATATATATATATATATTTGGTATGAAAGTATATATATTGTTGTTGAGGCTAAAGTGTAAATGGTCCATGATATAATAAAAATAGGGGCGTGAGCGCACATCTTAACTTGGATGAGTTGTGGCAGATAGAAAAGCACCCAGACTGACCTTCACGAAGTCCAGCTAAGAACCTCGAGGCAGTGTGTATATTTTAATTGTTATTTATACTTTGCAATTCCATTTATATGTGTATACACACACAAACACACATTCATAGTTTAAGACGCCAAATCTTGATAATTTACGGACACATGAAACCCATGTGGCCTATAGAAATATGTTTCTCTTCGTAAACTAAGAAAAGTCAACATAGGTATCTATGTTGCAAACGCAGTCATGATCCTTAGTGGTTTCCATCTATCTCAGCTATTATGTGTTTTAAGAACCCCGAAAACAGATACCAAATATACGAAATAGTGAAATTGGAAGAAGAAAGTGACACGCACCATGTGAAATTGTGTGTTCCAAGAGAAGAAATGGCACCACCAACGACTGTCTCCCGTCGCTGTTCTCTAGAAAAAGTTGCTCCCTTCCTCAATGATGAGACTCTTGACCCAGTTGTCTCATGCCCTTAAAAAAAGAAGATGCTGTTTTGAGTGATGGCTATGGAAAGGATCCTGTGGTTTGCTTCATTACCTTCTCTTTGTTGCGTATTTTACTATTTTTAACGGTTTGGACTAAATGAGAATTTTATTTTAAAAAGGTACCTAAAAGAGGAAGTAGTTCCGAGAGAGAGGGACCGAAGTGGCTGGAGAGCAGGTGAGGATTTCGCCGTCTGCTTTAACTACGTACGTCTCGGGATCCACTGCGATCTCGGGAAGGGAATCGTTCAGCTTCATGTTGAGTTTCGTGAGTCCCCTAACTCCAGACACCGCTTCCACTCTCTTCTTAAGCCCGTATGCCTCTTTTACCCCGTTTCTTAGAGCAGCCTAGTTAAGAGGCGAGAAAAGAAAGAACGAAAGTAAACGTCACCTTAAATCCACGGTAGTTAGGTGCAGGAAAAAAGGAAGAGAGAGTTAAATAGATTGATGCCTTGCTAACAAAAACTATGGAGTTTTCACTTCCAGCCTTGCCGAATGCTCCAAACATAGGTCTTGATATCACCTACGATCGATTTCATGAACATTGAGTCAATGACGAGTTGTTATTTTTGAGGTTGTGATACATAATAAACCTGGAAACTTCCAGAATTGAATATGCTCGTGTTTGTTGGTTTTTAATTAAAGATAAAATGACCTTGCAATAGCTCGTCTCACTCAGAAAGAAAGAGCAATTCAGACTACTTCTTACCGGTTCAGGAGTTGGTATGCTAGCATTTGGATCGCCCATATTGGCCCAAGCGATTTTACCGCCTTTTATTACCATTTCTGGTTTTGCTCCAAAGAATGCTGGCTTCCATAAAACCAGATCAGCCAGCTTCTTCTCCTGCAAAGTTTGTGCATTGCCGAGTTTTGTAAACGAAAACTGAGTTTTCGACGTGAATTCCTACCTTCTGAACAGTAACGATGCATTTGTTATCCTGCCTATGAGGGGATTACTGCATCAACATTTCTACTTTATTTTGAACCTGCGAAATCCCCGCTAGAAGTAACACCACTAACTTCTACAGCCCTAGAATCACCTTTGAAGATGCAGAAGCTAAGCACACGTCAAGTAAGAGAGATTCACAAGTTTAGTAGTTAATGGACAAACGTGAAAACGAAAACTGTTTAGTAGGAGGATAATGGAGCGTATGGTGTAATTGGTATACCTCCACCGAGCCGATAAAATTATTGAACCCATTTGTTATAGCTGGATTTATAGTGTACTTCGCAACATATCGCTTTATCCTCAAGTTATCATCATCGGCTGCACGAGGATCAAGGGGTCCCCTCTGCGCCTTCATCTTATCAGCAGTTTGCCAAGTTCTGCTTATCACCTAGCAACAGAGGTTTATTGCAATAAGCCTTTGTTGAAAGTTTTTCCGTAGATCATATAAACAACATAGGTAATTATGCATCAGGAAGCAAAGTAATTTTCCAGTCATTAAAGTGCTGTAAGTAATTTTGTGAAGTTTACCGCTTAACAGAACCTAACAAAAAAGATGAAGTTTAGAGTAATCTAGATTCTAGATGATAATACCAGAAAAAGTCTGTGAATAAAAACTAAGAACCTCTCCAATGCGACCCATGGCTTGTGAGTCAGAAGAGATGATGCTAATTGCACCGATATCATGCAATATGTCCTCAGCAGCTATTGTTTCAGCCCTTATCCTTGACTCGGCAAAAGCTACATCTTCTGGAATGTTCTTGTCGAGATGATGGCAAACCATCTGCATGCATTATTTGCCATTACGCTACTAAAAAGAACTACGTAGAGCAATTCAGCATTTATTGTATAATCGTCTCATACCAACATATCAAGATGTTCATCTATGGTATTTATTGTATATGGCCGCGTCGGGTTGGTTGAAGACGGGATGACATTTTTGACACCACATACTTTGATGATATCTGGAGCATGCCCACCACCCGCACCTTCACTGTTCAGTTGGAATTAAAGATAACAATTTTCAGATCACTTAAACATAAGAATTATCTTAACTTTGACAAAGTGGATGAACATATGGCATCTAAGTAAGCCTAGCTACAAACACAAATGGCAAGATCAATAGCTGAGCTCAACCTGTCAAAACAAGTTAAACGTGATTAAACAATCGTGCCTACTTCGTTTAAGACTGTCAAACAAGACTCAGATGATACTTCACAGATTACTAGTTTTCCTAGACTTGGCTCAATGTACCTGAAGTATTTCTAAAAATGGAGAAGATCAAGATTCAAATGACTGGTACAGTGCATGAAGGGTGAAATGCTACTGAACCTGTGGTAAGTGTGAATTGTTCTCCCTCGAAATGCATCGATTGTGTGCTCCACAAAACCCGATTCATTCAAGGTGTCGGTATGAATATTCACCTATCAAATCCAAACAAATGCCTACAAATGCGAACCAGATAAATTTATCATAAAAAAGTTTGGATAGACAGGAAAACCTGGATATCATGTTCTTCTGCAACTGCTAAACAATTGTCTATAGCAGCAGGAGTACTTCCCCAGTCCTCATGCAGCTTCAATCCCATTGCTCCAGCCTCAACTATGTGGTGAAGCTCTAATGGTTTAGCGGTGTTTCCCTAACAGCAATAGATATTTCAGAGACTACTAGAATAAAAGTAAAGGATATCTGATCAGCTCTAAAAACGGAAGTGCAGACTTTCAAAAAGCTGCAGTACAAGCATGATGAACACTTCATAAACGAAATAAAATCCAGCACACCTTCCCCGTAAAGCCAAAGTTTAGTGGCAGGTTATCCGTGGACTGCAACATCAACTTCATATCTGATGGAGAGGGGGTGCAGGTAGTGGCACGTGTACCATCAGCGGGTCCTGTCCCCCCACCGATCATAGTTGTAACGCCTGCAGATTTATGAAATAGGAGGTAAGCGGTCAACTTCAGCCAGAAGTTGCCAGAGACACTTGCTACCTTAGTCTAGCCTCTAGTAACAAATCAGTTCTTAGTCTTCTGACTACAGAAAAAGTAAACAGCTTGTGAAAATAAAGTATACAACAACAACAATATCGCCTTAATCCCAAGTTTATTTGGGATCGGCCGTGTGAATTCTTCTTTTCCATTCATTTCGTTTTTGTGTCATATTCTCCGATATCTGCAACATATCCAAGTCATTTCTATTGACTCGCAAGTAAGTCTAGACCTACCCCTTCCCCCTTTCTTCACTTCCATTCTTATACTCTCTAATTTTCTAACCTGAATATCTAGCGGTCTATGTTTTACATGTCCAAACCACCTTTAACGTCCCTAACTAATCTCTCTTCTATGGTTATGACTCCTAGTTTTTCCCTAATACTCTCATTTCGAATTCGGTCTATTCGTGTATGTCCGCACATCCATAGCAACATTTTCATCTCGACCACACGCATTTTGGACACATGTCCTTTCGCCGCCCAACACTCACTACAATACATCAATGCGGGTCTTATGGCACTACGATAGAATTTCTTTTTCAACCGTATAGAAACTTTGCGATTGCAAAGGACTCCCGTGGCTTGTCTCCATTTCATCCATACCGCTTTTATTCTACGACTGACATCTTCGTCGCAACCTCCATACTTTTGAAGGATTGACCAAGATATTGAAAATGTGGGTTATGAGTCACTAGTCCTCCTTGTAAGTTAACTCCTATATCACTAGAACGTCCTCCACTAAAATCACTAGAACCAAAATATGTAGTCAATATATTCTGCTCACCACTTGAAATGGCCTCATATACCAGCTGAGGGCATATGAAGTGCACGTGGCCATCTATAGCCCCAGCAGTTACAATCATCCCTTCTCCAGCGATAACCTCGGTCTTACCCTGACAAAGGAACAATAGCATAGAAGTAATCTACACCTTAAAATTCTTCTTTCGAATGTAGTGAATGGAATTACCCCAATAATCATATTCATATTGATATCATGCATGGTATCTGAATTTCCTGCTTTCCCGAGAGCCCAAATTTGACCGTTTTTTATACCAATATCTGCCTTAAATATTCCTGTATAATCAATGACCACAGCATTGGTAATCACAGAATCCAAGGAGGCATCTTGTTGTTGCTCAATTCCTTGACCCATGCCTTCTCTTACAACTTTCCCACCGCCAAATACGCATTCATCACCGTAAATAGTATAATCTTTTTCTATTCTGGCATATAAGTTGGTATCAGCAAGACGAAGCTTGTCACCAGTGGTAGGACCATACATACTGGCATACTTTTCACGGGAAATGACAGTTGTAAATCTAGGATCCACCCCAGAAACTCCCTCGCTGCAAAGAAAAAGAAAACAGAAAAATAGCTTTAGCAAACTTGATTTTAATTGGACCATTTCACTGAACGCAGTCTTGAGATGTTAAACAAGTATAATAACAAGGACTTCTCACCTAGCATCCGCATCTGGCAGGTGCCCGAAGCCTCTTCTATCTATGGATTCCATGACAGCTGAAATGTTTTCGTCGTTAACGGGTCCATCAACAATTCCATTTCCTCCTCTGATTACTTTGTTGCCACCGATATTCACAAGTAAAACGCTTTTGCTTTCTCCTGGCTAGTAAAACACAAAAGAGTTTTACTCAAAGAACTAAAAGGTGTTTATATCTTATCCAAGGGCTATGAGAAGGGAAACCAAGTTTGTAAACTCATTTCATGTAAAGGAGTTTCATGGGAATCCACAGAGAATCATTGATGATGCCATCATGCAGATCATTAACCATTTCTCGGAAGAAAAAGTGTCTGCCGAGAGTAGATTCATTCGTGATACATTGATCAGAAACATTGTCCACATTACATGAGATACTGAAGAGCTGTCGAGGCCAGTCAAGGAAAGAGAGAAGAAACTGAAACTTGAGAAAGAGGTATTTAGAAATCTAACCTCAAATCGTGTAGCAGTTCCTGCAGGTATGTTTAGACGCATACCATATGCTTTACGTCGATCAAACACCATCAGGGGATTCACTTCAATGAAGTTATAGTGGCTGCCAACCTGAAATGATCTCTGGATGGTTAATTTCACCGAAACCCACTCTAAACCAGCTTGAGTCTCCAGCACATATGAACGCAAGCCATATCAATAACCAAATTGATACAACTATATTAGTGACTGTCTTTCAAAGAATCATAACCTCTACGAGATACCATCATGAAGCACATTGACAGGATTCTTCTACAATTCATTGTCTGAGTTCCAAGTACTACGAGGTGAATAAGTGAACCACTGATGCCAGTTTCATGCATCTCCATACTCTATATTCTTTCCGATAACAGGTTCAGAGATGAATGAAACCCCAAGTAGCAATATGAAGTTTTTAGTCGCTAACTAATTCTCAATGATGCTAACCTTGTTTAGTAAATGAAATAAGTCAAGCATCTTTAAGCCCGCAGAATACAAGAGAGACAATCAAGTCATTTTAACCCTGATGTTCCCATCTATATACAATTGAAATTATCAATGATGTTGCACAATAAGACAACACTTGGAAGACATAAGAAATGACAAATTCAATCACCTGAACTGGCCTGTCTCCTGTGTTCACGACTTTCAGAATTACTGCTTTCCGTCCCTGGTTTAGGATTATACTTCCATCTCCATATTTTATATCACCAGGAATTACATCCTCACTCAGTTCGGGAAATTTGTCCAGCGAAGGCACTGCAAATGGAGCCGTTCTTGGATTCTTGGATTAAAAAAAACTTTCAACACTAAAGAGGACTACTAATTGAAATAACTTCAATTTGGATATGTGAATATTAGAATAAAGGATAAGCTTCTAAAGCACAAATCAACGAAGATTGATGAGTAGACATGGACAATAGTAATCTTGCATAAATACTCTTTATTGTTACTCAGATTTAAGCTGAATGTGCCAAGAACTAGAGAAAGAATATGGGGTCAAAATGCAGTTCAATTTCTCATGAGCTGAAAGGCAGACATACAAATTCCTTCAGAAAAATGTTAAGGTGCCTATTCCATGAATGTCAAAGTAAATGGACAATGAAAAAAAAAAACTGGACCAGAGTCTCACCAGGAAGGAAAGAGCCGTGCAGAGCTAGCTCCAGGTTTCCATTTTCGCAGGCAATGGGTTCATGAACGGTGACTAACTTTGTACCATCAGGAAATGTCCCTTCAACCTACAAGGCTTTTGACCAGGTATGGTAAGCAGACATATTACGGGAAAGTGCAAAGAAACAAAAAATTAAAGGCTAAAAAACATGATGCATTTTATTCCCACACAAAATAACAAGTAACTAACAGACTATTGAACCACCTGAACTGTATCAAGAAGATGCGGAACAGCCGGAAGAACCTGTCTCCTGTTACAAATAATTGAATAATTAAATAACAAATGTCTCTAAAGAACCAAACAACCAACAATATAGGTCACCCCGTTACCTTCCCAGCAGTTGTCTCCCAATCTCCATCATTTCGGCCACACTTTTATCTCCATCACGAATGAACTCCAGAATCTACACAATCCAGAGAACAATAACTCAAAGAAACCTGTATTTGATCCTCCAAACATCTACCAGGGGGCACTTATAGTTTCACTGAAGGTAACAAGCAAAATGTGTAACACAAAAGAAAAGGAGAGAGAACAACTACAGATTCTTCGAATTCAAAGCTCTTCCTTGTGATCTCCTATACACTAGGAGGGGAACTGCAGCATTACATAGAAATCTCACTCTCGTTTTCCACATAACTTCGCAAACCGCACCAGAATCTCCATGAACGCTACCAAATTACCAATCTAGTTTAAACCATGACGAAGTTCCGTACGGGTATACAAATTGGCTAAATTCCGGCGAAATGTCCACCCGAGACGATCGAAGAATTCAAATCAAACACACATTCACATAAACACGAATCTTCGTAAAAGAGCAAAATGAAATAGAAAACAGTACCTGGGTGGCAATGAGAGCTACAGATTCGGTGTAATTAAGCCGAACACCACGAGCGAGACGCTTTTGCGCCAGGAAACCAGCTTGATGAAGCGCTAGCTTCTCGATCTCTCTCGGCAGCAATTTCATCTCTCCCAAATTCGAATCAAATCCACACGCCGAATACAATAGTCAGGCGAAGAAGGATCGGTACGCTATATTCAACCACACAAGCGAAGAACTGAAAAATACCGAAACCAAAAATTCGCAGACACAGATGGCGGAGTTCGGAAATCAGATCGACCACCGGAAAATTCCACCGGCGTGAAGATCTCACACGCAGACGAAGAGATGAGAAGCAGTGCCACGCCGTCTGGTGCTCATCGGGGCTTCTCGCTGAATCTTATGCGTTTCCTATAAAATTGTTTGGGAAAATGTGCATTTTGTACCGATTTTTGTTGTCCGGATTCCCTTATATTGTCAAAAAAAAAATTATTCAAATCTTGAAATGATATCCATAGTTTTTAAAAGGGGTTTTGAATTGTCGAAACAGAAGGTTTCCCAATATGGACGTTCAACCGGGAATTTTTACTCAAATAGCCGAGTTGGGTCGAAGCAATTTTTCAGGTACACCGAAAAAATAGACAAAATTATCAAATATCGAGTTTACTTCTGTAAAAAATGGAAAAGACCTACAAACTCTTAATGAAACCCGCGTGTGAGGTAAAAACACGTGCGAAAATTTTTTAATTCGAATTAAATGAAAAATTAGTGAAAACGTTTAGTTAAAACCGTAAAAATGAAAGTTAGGGTTTTTTACCCTTTCAAAATCGAAAACCGCAAAGAGAAGAGAAAGCGAGGGAGGGAAAGGGGGTTTTAACCCTAATAACCCACTTGGGTCGCAGCAATTTCAGGGTACACCACCCAGAAAAAAAAAATTTTCAATTTTAACCCACTTTTCAATTGAAAAAGTCCAAAATACCCTTTTCGTTTTATTTTTTGCGACCTTTTTGCGACTAACATATAACTGATATACAACTAAAATAAGACGGATAATTTTTTTTGCCACCTTTTTGTAACTATATTTAGAATTAATTACGAAGTCGTAATAACGAAGTTGTTTTCGAACGGATAAATATCGTGATTCATTAAGGGTAATTTCGTCTTTTTACGGAGAAAAAAATGTGTTATGTTTTTGGTGGTGTACAGATGAAATAGATGCGACCCAAGTGGGTCATTTGAGTGATTTTCCCGAGGGAAAGTGACTCATGCGAAATCGACAGAAGGAAACGAATCGAGAGTCAAAATCGAAGCGAAATCAGCGGAGTGTCAGCGAAAGCAGGAAGAAAGCGACGAAACCTAGAAAAATCGAGAGCCAGACGAACAAAATGAAGTCATCGTCGTCGAGGGAAGGAGGTCGCAGTCGAGGTCGAGGTCGAGTCGGTGCTGGAACCAGAGTGGTGTCGAGGTTTGCCGGCGAGAGAACGCAGACGGAGCCTGAGGCGGAGAATACGGACACGCAGACAGAGCCGGAGCCAGAAAGAACAATGGAGGGAAATGCTTCTCCGAAAACACATGTAAGTAGAAATCTGGGTTTAGGGTTTTCATATTGGAATTAGATTTAATTCTGGTTTTTTAAAGTCTGGGTTAAAGGGGAGTGTGATGTCGGATAATGCGAAGAGTTGAACAGATTTGGTGAAACCGTGCTCATGTAACTTTTAAATTTTAAGTGTTTTATACGAAGTAACAATTAAAAAATGATAGTGAAGTTGTGGAATTTGAAACCCGTTTCTGAGAATGTCATGTGGTGTGATGTATGTTTGATGAATCTCGTTGTTTTGTTGCAGAATTTGGATATACCCAAAGCCGAATTCTACTATGAATTTGACGACATGAACAAGATTTCGGTGAAGTTATCGTCAAAGTGTTTCCACATAGAAGCTGTGGAATTTCTCGAGCACCACATGACGGAGGAGGAAAAAAAGTATTTCACCGAACAATCGCAATTCAGGCACATATTTCATATGAAGAAGAAACAGTCACTGAAGATGAGTTTAATGGTTGCACTCATCAACCGATCAGTCAAGACCAAGATGTTGGGTTCCCTTCGGGTTCCTAGCATGCGATCTCATCGATCTAGGGTTTGGATTCTAGGTTTCACGCAGCGGAAGGAAAGATCTAAACCTAGCCAAACGTCACACAAAACCAATTGTGCAATAACCCGAACAATCGTGTATATCGTCGTGGGATTCGAATACTTACCTCGTTCTTTCAAGATCAGGAAGTATCAATCGATCCAGGGCATGTTTTAATCACCAAGAGTTGAAAGCACAACTCCTCTACACGTATCCACACCGGCGGGATGAATTCCAACACTTTGGAACGTATCTGCTAGGATCTGTGAAGAGAAAACGATGTCCTTGACTTGGAATCGATATTCCATCACTAGAACTCAAAATCAAGCTTCTCTAAGCTCTAATGAGTGTCTTGGACGTCTTAGGTTCGTTCTCTAGGGTTTGTGGCGGCTTTCTCATTAATTAGAATTGTCCAAAACCCTTAAAACGCGAAATATGAAATCTGTCCGAAAGTCGGACCGTCCGGTCTAGGTCTTGGACCGGACGGTCTGGCTTTCAACGCAGAACGGACGGTCCGTAAGTACTCATAGAACGGACGGTCTGGTGCTTGCGGAACGATCGGTCCGTTCTTCAGCGGAACGGACGGACTGACATGGCTGGACCGTCCGGTTCAGGGCTGGACCGGATGGTCTGGCCGTCTGGAACACTTCCAGCTCGTTCCATGGTTCCTTTCTCGCGTCGTTCTCTTCACGTGTGACCCATCCCTAATGGTGTGTGACCCTGTAGTCCCGTTCGAAGTGGTAGTGGCTTCGGAAACCCTTTTCCGAACCACAAGTCATGGTTAGCCTCTAGCAAGACGTCATGACCACCCACCTAGAATAGAGTTAGAGGTGATCTAACAAAGCCAACAATGGTTCGAGTTCTGATCCTTTGTCTCACGATGTCGTATGTTGAACAAGGGCATGGTATGAGCCGTTCAACCGTTTACTCGTCTAGGCAAACCGACTGATAAAATAGATGTACATTCATCTATAGCATGGCCACGCATTTTCACAGTCTGATTTTCACGAGAGGCCCAACGACATCTCTCCTGCGTAGGAGGTGACAAGTCTCGTATTGCATGTCTACTATCTGCATATGATTCGTGAACGTATCTGAGCAACGCCGTTATGATCATCCGGTTAAAGACGACGTTTGACGCAGTCAAGACACGTCACTCCTCATATCAAATACTCTAGACATCTCAGGTCTGAGGATCCAAGAACGAACCGCTGTATGAGATTCAAGTCATGACTCATGTCCATGTGACAATCTCATGCGGGTCATCCAGTAACTCGTTCCAAACGAGAACCCATGATTGTGATTTGCATCTAATGCATATGATCATAATCATCTATCACACATCATGCTGGTCTTAATTCATCATTGTTCCCACAATGATAACTGACCAGGGAATTTAGAATCATCTGCAATGATTCAAGGATATTTACCGTAATATAACAAACATGCTAATCATATAACGGGAAAAGTAATGCATTCATAAACCAATGAATAAATACATAGTCAAAATGTCATATCACGGATCATCCTAGAGCATCACAACCAACAATTAGGAGCCGACTAGAGTTAGACGAGGACGAGGAAACGGTGATGGCCCAGTTCTTAGATGGACTGCAGGATAAGATTGCTCGAAAAGTTGAGCGACTCACCTGGTGTAGACTGATATCTACTAGTCATACTCAATGCATATGATACATCCGGACGAGTACATAACATGGCGTACATGATGGATCCAATTGCCGAGGCATATGGAATCCTATTCATGCGCTCTTGCTCATCCTGTGTCTTTGGACACTGAGTTTTGCTAAGAGCTACGTCATGTCCCATTGGCAAGGCACCCCTCTTGGAGTCTTGCATCTTGAACCGATTCAAGACCTTGTCAATGTATGTACTCTGACTTAGACCAAGAAGCCTTCTCGATCTATCTCTATAGATCTTGATTCCTAGAATATAGGCGGCTTCTCCTAAGTCCTTCATCGAAAAGACCGATCCTAGCCAGGATTTTACTCCTTGCAAGGTAGGAACGTCATTTCCGATGAGCAATATATCATCTACATAAAGTACAAGGAAGACCACTGTGCTCCCACTGACCTTCTTGTAAACACATGGCTCATCTTCGTTTTGCAGGAAGCCAAACGTTTTGACTGCCTCGTCAAATCGAATATTCCAGCTCCTCGAAACCTGCTTCAGTCCATAAATGGATCTTTGAAGGTTGCACACCTTCCGTCTTAGGATCAACAAAATCCTCGGGTTGTGTCATGTACACATCCTCGAGCAAATTCCCGTTAAGGAATGCGGTCTTGACGTCCAATTGGCCATATCTCGTAGTCATAATACGCAGCTATGGCTAGCAGAATCCGTATGGATTTAAGCATCACGACTGGTGAAAAAGTTTCATCATAGTCTATACCATGAATCTGCCGAAACCCTTTCGCGACGAGTCGTGCCTTATAGGTATGCACGATGCCATCCATGTCGGTTTTCTTCTTGAAAACCCACTTGCATCCAATGGTCTTAATACCATCGGAATGCTAACCTGGGACGCTTCCCAGTCCATATCTCATATGGAGTCTTCTGAACCGACTTTGTTAGACAGTTGTTCAGTATAAACGCTGTTGTTTCCAAGGCGTAACCCCAAAAGGATTTAGGAAGACCGACCTGACTCATCATAGACCGTACCATATCTAATAAGGTTCGGTTCCTCCTCTCGGACACGCCATTC